GTGCACCACTAGGCATGACAGTACTATAATAACTAATGCATAGAATAGAGAATTTCCCTATCTTCAGAAGATCCCACATACCCACTGCAGAACAAATTCCTACTAATTAAAAATTGGTCCATGGGAGGGGTAGAAGGAGAGGTGGAGTATTAAAATATTTTGAAAGATATTTAATTGAATTTCTTTCTTTCAGCCAGCATTCAGTGCCCAAACAGTAGCCCAGATGGAACTGTGCAATTCAGTTTAAGGATCACATGCTGTACAGTTGCATATATCTGTAGATATGGAAAAAAACACAATGCCAAATGAAACCAAGTATGAACGTAAGAGACATCCCAGTTTTCATTGTGAAAAGAAACAAAAAAAGGAAAAAACAAGTATTGAAGAGAGCATGTCAAATAATTAAAAACAGTCATAGATAGAAGATCCAAGTTACACCAGTTAAAAACATATTTCTGAAATGGTGTCCTCTTCAGTAGAGTATGGAATTTACACATTTTGTTACATTTTGCAATCTCCAGGAGAAAGTACTTTCCACTGAAATATTCAGTCCTATTTTCCTCTGATTTCAGTACATCATTTTTAGTTAAAACACTAACATACGTCACAGTGCACACAACACCAGCTGTTCCCACCTTTTAAACACATCCCCACACAACCCCACACAAAACGAACTGAGCTTTTGCATTGCAATTTCCTCCTTTTATAATAATGATTACACCCTTTAGTTTACCAAGGGCAATTAGGCCTGTCTGGATGAGCAAAACTACACATTCTGTGGTCTCAACCTTGATGAGAATCCCTGTCAAAACACAAGCTAATGCATTTGCTTGCACATTAACCAGCCAGGTTTTAACCTCAGCTTCCAAAAGCCCACAAGAAAGAACCCAGGGTAATATTTCTCAATTCTTCAGACTCAAAACATACTATTGTTACTGACAAAGGCTTTTTACTTTCAAAAGTCCACCACAAACAGAAGATAAGACAAAACAAAGAATCTGCCTGAAAATAATAATGTTTGGCAAGAAAAATAAGCTTAGAAAAAATCCTTAGCCCAATATTACGCTGACTTGCGCTCTTGCTTCTGCACACTTCTCTCTGGGCAATTATTCTTCATTTAAGATGTTCTCTCAACATTCCCTGAAGTTTACTTTAATAAGTTGTTATTTAGTAGCATTTAGACCAAGAAAAACAAAATAATTTGTATTTTATAGTGAGCTACAAGCCACTCAATACAATTAATTTTAGCACAGATTGTCTTGATGCTTCAGACTAGCCCTGTGTAATTCCAGTACTGAATGCAATTCATGTACCCAACAAATAATTATGCCAAAGCACATTATAGCAGTACTTAGGACAATGCAGTTAGAATACATAGTATCTTGCAACCCGATAGCCAAGAGACTGTAATTTAGAGCATATTGATACTGAACAACTTTCTGCATAAGCACTGATCTTTAATAAATGTGCATGAGTAATAGCTTTATTTCTCACACAGGTAGCCCAAACTTTAGAAGGCATTATTATTCATAAAATAAAAAGTACATTTCCAGAAAAATCTATTCCATATTAAATATCCCAAGACTTTTTAATTTAAAACTAATATGCTCAACTTACTTCATCAAGTATCTTAACCTGCTACCTAATACACAATTGCCGTTCACAAGACTAATTTAGGATAGCCAATACAATTCCAGCTAGATATGGGCCAAAAAAATCCTTGGAGACAAGCAAAACTTAAGACAGATAGGGCCCTGAGCAACCTAATCTCACTTGGAAACTGAGCTGGAGTTTGACAAGATGACCTCCTGAATCATTCTATAATTGTATGACAATGTAGGGGATGCCCATAGGCATACAGGAAGTATATCCACACCATATGTCTTACTATCTGCTACTGCTTTTTCTCTTACAGAAAGAGAGAACACAACATGACTGGATGCAAACATAAAATCACTGTACCTGAGGTATGATGGACTGCACAGCTTTAAAGGAAAGAACATCCAGAAAGCAAAGCATATCCTGGGCTGTACCAAAAGGAGCGTGACCAGCAGGTCGAAGGAGGTCATCCTGCCCTCTACTCTGGTCTCACGAGACCCCACTTGGAGTATTGTGTGCAGTTCTGGTGTCCTCAGCATAAAAAGGACATGGAACTGTTGGAACAAGTCCAGAGGAGGGCCACGAGGATGATCAGGGGACTGGAGAACCTCCCGTATGAAGATAAGCTGAGAAAGTTGGGGCTGTTCAGCGTGGAGACCTCATAGCAGCCTTCCAGTATCTGAAGGGGGTCTACAAGGGTGCTGGAGAGGGACTCTTCACTAGGGACTGTAGCGATAAGACAACGGGTAATGAGTTTAAACTTGAACAGGGAAAGTTCAGGTTGGATGTAAGGAAGAAGGTCTTTACTGTGAGGGCGGTGAGGCACTGAAACAGTTTTCGCAAGGAAGTTGTGAATGCTCCATCTCTGGCAGTGTTCATGGCCTGGCTGGACATGGCCTTGGGCAACATGGTCTAGGGGGAGGCATCCCCACCCATTGCAGCGGGGGTTCAAACTTGATGTTCTTAAGGTCCTTTTCCAACCCAAACCATTCAAGGATTCTATGACTGAGGGAAGAGATTTGAGAACCAAAGGCAAGCAAGGGGCTGTATGATAATGTCAAGTGGTTGAGTCACACAGCTGGACTGGAGATGTCAGTCTGTGCTTCCAAGACAGCTTGTGCACTTTTCAACAGAGCAGCAGCTACAGCATATACAATACCTGAGCAGATTTTGAGTGGGATGTACAAGACCAAGAAGCCGCATCGTGTAGAGAAAACACCTACAAGATGTTTTTAATTCAGGGCAAGCCACCATCTTCTGCAGACAGGAAAGCTGCTGAATAGACAGTGAGTGGTACGTTGCTTCATTGAAAGACTGCATCAGCCATGTTGTGACACATTCCTATCAGCTCACTTCGAAGTTGTAATAGAAGAAAAGAAAAAAAAAAACCAAAAAAAAAATAACTCTTGAGGGACAGTTGCCAAATCCCTCAACAGATATGACCACCATATCAGTCTCTCATCTCAGCTGAGTGCTATAATCATCAATCCTCCCCACTTTCACTCTCCCAGAGTCAGGGCTCCCATTGCCTTCTAGCCTTTTGGCAGATTTCTGCTTTTGCATTACTAGATACATTAAGACCCAACTTAAGAACTGTGATGGAACATGCTTCCTGCCAGAACATTGAAATCCTTGGCAGATAAGAGCTTACTCTGAGATGGTAGGTTCAGATCCAGTCAGTCTGCAGAGGACCTGAATGCAGAGCTTCCATGTTCTGAACCAATGACTCTAGCTTCCAAGTGACCATGCCATAGGTGGACATCTACACCACTGCTATTAGTTCTGGTCAGAAAAGGCTTTAGGGTTTGACAAGAGCACCTAGCTATAAGCCAATATAGGAGATTTAAACTGTTCCCAAAGGTTGTCACAGATGACTGCCTGAGTGGGCTTACTTGCACAACACAACCCAGCATTCATCTGTCTCCACTTTCTATAGCAGAATTCCAGGCACAGTAAAGAGAGCAGAAGCACCCGATCATTGTCCCAGGTGACACAGAGCTGGTAACAAACAAAACTAAACCAGAAAAGTTTCATTCAGTGCATCTTTTAAAAACGAACAGAAAGGAAACAAATTAATTCTAAGTTTTCATTTAAGTTTTGAACCCACTTTCAATAGTGCCTGTTTTCCCTCTAGTGATTGTGTTATTCATGGTGCTAACAAGCAAAGAATTCTGAGCAAGTTCCTCCTGAACCAGTACTAATTTAACTCATCTTTAAATCATTTCCCAAAGAGTTAAGGGCAACTCAAATATTGCATCAGCATTGTGAGAGGGGAAAAAAAAAACAACTAAATATTCTTTCATAAATAAATATCAAACTGAGAGAAAAATCAAAGCCTGTGTTCTGACAGACTGCTTGAGACTTTTTATTCCCCAATCTCGGAAACACAGGTATAAGATACTATTAAACAAAACTAAACTTAATTCAATAAAATATTTCCCATAACTTAATATAAAATTTTAACCAAACCTGAAAAGAGATGAATATGTCCTTTACAAAATGTTCTGCTGACTTTAAATAAAAATATCTGTATAAATTAGCACACATGAGCAGCAATTTCTTATGAATGTTAATATAAACAAGCTAAATCCAACAAACATGAAGGGAGGAAAAAAAAAAAGGCAAGAAATGTAGTTATTGCTTATCTGGAAGAAATGCAAGTTCGGATAAACAGAGATTTTATTTTGTCCTGGCGACACAACACTTTCAAAGTTCCATCATCAACATCCCATTACCTGCCAGTACTGTTTAGGCTCTGAGCACTTGTGTTGCTTTCATAAATAAAGATGAGGTTATTTCCAATAGGTTACCAAGAGTAGCTACTTTTCCATTTAAAGGAACCATACACTGTGCATTTAAGGGTAGGGACCTGAAAAGTCTGCACGCTGCATCCTTCCCCTGCTACCTGAAGCCCACCATCTGAGTGTAACACTCAGAATTTATTATGATTGGAAGTTCACTGAAGCAAGAAGCATCTCCAATATTTATTCAGATGATGCCTAGTACTGACTTCCAGGCTACAAGAAACATGTTGTAATTACTGCAGTTACCAAGCTGGGGATGGAGGGTGCAGGCTGGCAGGGGAAATCCACCAGTTAAAAAGAAATAGTTTAAACTGATGATAGGTATTAGCAGTTAATGGATACATAGGCTTTCTGTAAGTGACTCTTTACCATAAAAAGTTATTAAGTGCAAGACCTGCAAATAACTACAAAGTCTTTCTTCCTGAGAAAGTATATTAATATTAGAACTTCAACGTCTCTTCTTAGAAAATTTTAAAGCGTCTGAATTCAGCTACTTTGCTGGCGCAATTATGAAGAAAACAACTGACAGCAAATTCAACATTATTTTGGGAAGATACAAGCCTCTACATTACTGACAACATGCTGAAATTTTAATACCTCTTTATTGTCCCCGGAAGATCCAGACTGAATGGAATTTGACAGGACAATGCTAAAGTGTCATCCACAGCCTTGCTTATTTCCTGTAGTTCTCGCAAAGAAACACAGCCAAGTAAAGCAGACAGTTCACAGTCCTGTGACTGAATAAGCCTATCTTGTTCTTCAATTTCTCTTCTTAGCTGTTGATCTTTTGCTTCCAATATGGCCAGTCTTGCTCGGAGGTCTTCAATTTCCTTCTGCAGAGAGCAAAAACATGAGTTTACAACAAACCCTGCTAGAGAAACCCTTCTACTCTTAGAAAAATACAAGTCCCTAAAGTAGCATGAATTAAGGTTCTCCAATTTAGCACATTAAATAAGAAGACATTCTTTTGTTGACACACAATAACTCTTACGTTTATCATATTTAAAAACTTTAGTGCTAACAATCTGAACACCCCACCTCCATTTCAATACCAAATTTCAGGTTCTTCTTCATCAGCCACCTTTTACTTTTAAAATACAGAGCTACTTTAAGCAAAACAAAATCTCAGTTCAAGTATGACAAGAGAATCTTGCTACAGACTGACAGATAATGTGATCAACCATATAGCTGTCCTCCTGCAGAGTATCTCTGCAATGGCTTCTCTAGGCTTTCAATCCAGCATCAGGATGTAAATGGCAAATCACTGACTGCCTAGCAAGTCCTTTTGATTACTAGTATTTAACTTAAATTAAAAGAATAAAATCCCTCCCTTGACTTAAAATGACCACAGCTTCAAACCTCAGTTAAGCTTGTCTTGCTAGAGGTTCAAATACCATGCATTATGGTTCTGAAGTTTCTGCAAAAGCACATTCTATTTTTTCCTTAGAAAGACAACAGGTAGCTTGCACCCTAGGAAGGAGCGCTTCATGAAGGAGTCAGGGTTGATGAGTTAATAACGGTATTTAATATCTAGCCCTTGGCTCCTTTGTCCCACCTGAAAAGTGAGGCTAAAAAGAAAAAGAAAGAAAAGAAAAAAGGATAACTACTTGCTATTGAAGTAGTTTAAAACCACCCTGGAAAATTGATTCTATTCCTAACACTTCATACAGTTTCTGTTAAATTTTGCAAGCCACTTAAACTACTACCCCCACACACTGTCACGGACTGAATGTTCGCTATCTTCCATAGAACCAGAAAGAGGGGTCTCTGAAGTGCTATCTATAGACTCTCAACAGAAATCAAGGCTGATAATTCCATATTCTGATTATATTCAGTCCAGCTAAAAATAGAAATTAACAAAAAAATAAAATTAAAACAACCTCAAAACAAAACCTTTCACAGGTAAATAATTAGGCATTACAAAATTGACCTTAGAAATGACCATATAGCTTTTTACAGCAATTCACTTCTTCATTCTCTAGCTGTAAAATGGCAATAAGAGTACCTCATCACACAAATCAATGTGGAGATAAAATTAAGTGGTTTTGAATCACTCTGATGCCATGTTGATTAATGCTGTAAAAAGAGCCCACTCACAAATTAATACATCTGAATCGAAAAGAGGGTTTGAGTGACATACAGTAAAATGGTGCTGAATAATGAGTAATGAAGACAAAAATGGTATTCTGAATATCTAAACAAGCACTTTCCATCTTCAACATATGCAGCAGGAATCCAGAAAAAGAGGCATGTTCATATAATTGAACACTTTCATAAAGCATACATACTATGCACAGATAACCGACTTAAGCACTTACTTGCTTTTTGAGTGCTTTGCTTTCAAACCTTAACATGATTTTAGTATTTTCAGCGTATTTTAAGTGAAATTTAGTTGTCTAATGCTCATTTTGTCAACAAACATACTTTCAGGTTTGCTGCACTGCAATAAGCTCCCTGAGTATCGCTTAAAATGACAAGAAACAGTCCTAGCATCTTAAAAGGTTGACTGGCTCCAAAATTTCAACTTATATTAGTACTCGCACACTAAATTCATCAATTATTTTCCTCCTTTTTGGTTTTAGGTTTAGCAACAAGAGAACAGAATGGCCCATGTTTCAATCTACAGGTATTTGTCAATGACAGAAAGGTCAGCAGGCCAAAAACATCAGTTTTATTTCTTTCAGTCTTAAATTAGGCTTTTAGTGTGCACAAAGGACAATTCTGTCTCTGTTACCAGTTTGGGAATACTGCCAAAATCTTCATAGGCCCTACTTTATACAAAGACCTTCATACTCTGTAAAAACGTAGTAATTGCAATCACTCCAATAAGCAACCTACATGGGAACAGAAAGGGAGATAAACAGAATTTGGTTTTAAAAACACACTTTTAGTACCAAAGTGGTTTTGCAACATAAATAGATAGCAGAAGCACACAATCTGCATTCACAGACAGAAAGCTGTTCCAATCAGGAATAGTACACAGGTATTCTTGGGAGAATGGAAATTTAGTCAGTAAACTGAAATTCTTCTGCCTTCTTTTCCAGAAATGCCAAGAAGCTTTTAATGGGCTCCTGGTCAGCCTCCAGGGACAGATAAAAAGGACTTAAAGCCTCAGTGTGGAGCAGCAGATTATATTCGGCTCACTAAACATAAGCTGGAGTTGTACTCCAGCTTCACTTATGGGCTGGTGCTCTACATGAAGCACAGATTACAGTAGAAACATTACTATGCAAATTTTAGATACTGTCATACGCTTTCTAATCCCTGAAGACAAAACACAGATCCAACAACAGAGAGAGAAAAGGAGGAGGAAGGAGGAGGAGGAGGAAGGAGGAGGAGGAGGAGGAGGAAGGAGGAGGAGGAGGAGGAAGGAGGAGGAGGAGGAGGAAGGAGGAGGAGGAAGGAGGGGAAAAAAAGGAGGGGAAAAAAAGGAGGAGCAAACTGAAAACAAACAACACTGATGTTTTCAGATCACAGGAGATTTTGGAAAGGAGCAATCCTTAAGGGATGCTTGGAAGTCACCAAATGCCATAGGTCAGCCTTCTTCTCCAGAATCTCAAATTAGTGGTAATTTTGATCAAATGCTCATAAATAGCATGCCTGTGCAACAATGTGACTAATTTGTTCCTAGCATAACTACATAGGAATAAAGATTCACCTGGAAAAGTATAAAAACGTTACCTGGCGTGGAGTCTTTACAGTAGATTTCAGTTGAGTATCTTGAGGTAGCTGGCTAGACATCTACATTATTAAAAATGTCTTTCTGAACACTGACAAATGTTGAACTATACTCTTACATATTGATGAAATAAATTAAACAGTACAAAGGTGAAGACTAGGATAGAAAAGACATTTTTTCATATAGGTTAGATTTTGCAATAACTAGTAAATACTTTGCTCTAGTTCTTTCTGGTTTTCATATACATATTTGTGTGTATACAAATAAACAGATGATTATACTATCAGATCCACCAAAGGAAAAATAGTATCAAAAATAATGGGATATTAAGACAAGACCTAGTAGCTCTCTAAAGTGTCACATTGCCAAGTGTGATTGCCAAGGAGGCGGAGCAAAGACTTGCACTAGCCAGTAAATTGGGATTTTTTGAAGGACAGTGAAAAGAGCTAAATTTTGCAGAAAAGACTTACAGATTAAAAACTGGACAGAAGCCATCTTAAAAGCATTCCATTTGCCAAACTACCGCATTCTGACATCACATGTCAGTGTAAAGTTACTGCTGGCAAATGTTAACAGCTCCATGATGATTCCTTCATCCTTATGAATTGCATCAACCATCTTTCAGGAACAAAAGCTGGTAAATTATGTATTTACAGTCAATTCTAACCAGAATCAGATGAAAACTTTTTGTCTTTGAACAAAAATTTCTGGAGATCAGTGAAATAGTGAAATGGCAAATTAGAACATAGAGAGGACACTTCAAAAGATAATGAGGGAAGTTAAAGCATGTACACAAGCCACCGAGCCTTGAAGTTCTGCTTCTCCATAATGAGATTAACTCAGCTCCTGTGGCTGCCATCTCCAATCATCACTTAGATATCAACTGGACTACAGCCAAGGCTCTAATTGCTGCACAGAAGCAAAGTCACTATTACAATAAATGTACTGAATTGTGTGACAGCTTACAAGCTTTTCCCCACACAGCACTGGTGCTTGGAGAACTTTGCAGTCCTGTTACCTGTAACCACTTCTTTTCTTGAAAAAGTTGGTTTCGTTTTGTGGCTGAAACCTCCATCCTCTCCTGGTAAGTGGACCTCAAAAGTCTATGTTCGTTTTCATGCCAAACTTGCGTTTCTTCATTTCTAACACTTTGGAAAAATGAAAAAAGCTAAAAGTTAGCATTATTCCCGAGTACCAACATCTCAAAGACTAAAGAGATCAGAATGTTACATGTTACCTTCAGAGTCATAACATTCCATCACCAGAATGATTATATCTTAAATGGATGCAGTTAGAGAACAAGAGATTTTTCCTTGGCATATCTTCCCTTATTATCTCAAACATTTACACTGTTTTTACAACACGCTGAAGAAGGAAAAAGGAAAACTTGTATGGCTTCAGGCTTCCCCCAGCTTTTTCATATTTCAGAAATTTATCCATCACTGCCTTGAAAGAGAGAAAACTAAGGCATGTAATTTCTATCAATACAGAGAAAAATCTCTCTTAGACAGAAGTTTAGAAACTTGCCAAAGCCAATTTTGCAGCTTCTGACAGCTTTCGGAGACTACATTAGAGATCATCTGGAGTGTTTGCTTCTCCATGCCAAATTTTACTTCTCTGCTGCACAGTGAGTTCTTTCAAAATTACAGTCAGTGGGATTCCTCACAGTGGCCAGCACAACACTCAGCTGTAAATCTTTGCATGATTGGACCCCCAAGGTAATCAGTGTACTACATTGTCAAGTCTATAATCAGCCTCTCAAAATGCACCTGCAAACAATGCAAACCTTTGATCTTGCATGTTCCTGCAAAAGGGCATGCATGCTTGCAAGGCCAATTGTATTTCTGTGTCCATCTCTATAGAAGCAAGTGCATTACCACATAAAGGGTACAGATACATTTCAAGATCTTGTTTAAAAAAAAACAAACAAACAGAACAAAACAAAAAACCAATCTCTCAAAGAATGTTTCTGAAGCATGATTTCCCACTGTAATCATACAAAGCAAATGCATTCATGCCACACACAAAATACGCATCACAAGTCTAGTTTAAGCACAACTAATAACACACTTATGATCCCTATGCACAGCTGTTTAACAAGTGTGTAGAACAAAAGGTTCCTGTCTCTTCTGCAGGACCATCAGAAGACACACATGCTTTTATTCCCTTTCTGTGTGCTGAAGAATGTACTGAAAAGGCAAAATAACCCATGGCACTAAGATAAATGGCATTAATATTTAAACAAAACATACATAATGGCAGCACAACTGTATTTCTGTAATAACAAAATAGCTCAAAGGGACACCTGCAATGTGAGGTGCTAGGTCATCACTATATATATATATGCCTTACAATCATTATAGGTTGCTGTGGCTCCAACCAGCCACACTTGCCAGCAGCTCTGAAGTCACCTTCTTTTAGCAAGAGCTGCATCTTCCCAAGCTCTGTATGCAATAGAGATTTCCAAGTAGTTGGTTGAAATTAAGAAACATTCCACAATAAACATATGTTATTCTCAGAATCTCCTTGGAAATCCCATGTACATCTGCCTATTTGGGACTGAGGGAACAGAAACAAGACCTCTTGGATCTCTCTAAACTTGGGTGATTGCACAAACCCAGATTTATCTTGGGTATTGCTCCTAAGCTAAACATAACCAAACCTGGCTCCTACACCTGCCACCAATATCCTCTCAACACCAAATACACTCACCTAAAAACTAGTCTCATAATTTAACCAACAAAACCAGGGCATGAATTTCAGTTTCATGTACTGAACAAATAACCTGCCATACGCACTTTTTATTTTAAAAGTTGTTTCTTTGCAAAAAGATGAGACTGGCTTAACTACTGTGAAACTGCAATGATTTGGTCAGATGGGGCTAGCCTTGTCATCTTTCTAATTCTCCAGTGAAAAAAGAAATCTTGGGTATATTGGTTTTGTTCACATTCAGAATCAAAATAAAAACTGAAGCCTACAAGTTTTTCCTGAAAAAGTGGTAACATTTTCAATCTTGTCCTATCTAAAAATACTGTTGGAAAAGAAAGATTTTGAACACCTGTATTGAAGACAACGGGCAGGCCTGCTGCATCAACAAGAGTCAGACCACAAACAAAGCAGCGTGAAAGGCTACAAGAATCAAGCAAGAAAAAGAAAGGGTGTCACAACAAACACAAGCTCGAAGAAAGGAGTATGCACAGGACACAAAAGTGAAGAGGATATTCATCTGACCCTGAAGAATGGCACTGCTCTCAGACCTGTTGTCCTGGGTTCAGCAGTAGCAGTCAGCAAACAGATACACAGATATAATCAAAGAACAGCACTAGTTTCATAAATGTATATATTATTTATTCAGTATATTATTATACAAAAAAATATATCTACATTATATAAGAAAAAAGAAGCAGACTAAGTCACTAAAGCATCCCTGAAGAACATAATTTCTGTGACAGTAAAGACAACAGCACCTCTAAAGCCAAAATCATTATAAAGCAAACACATGTCAATGACAAAATACAAGATGTTGTACCCTAAATCATTAAGGAATGGCAAAACAGCTGCTTAGGGCCTCAGAAGGTAGAAGCAAAAAACTCTGAGGGCATGCAGTTTGTTTTAAACCTGTCTTATTCCCAAATACTATAAATAGAGACTAAAAATACCCTTAAAAGTCTCAAATTTAGCAATGTAATCCTATTATCTGTGCTGGTTTTACCCAATTTTCATGTCTATCAAAAACTATGTATTGACTAGCACACTGAAGCCTTTCTATGTACAAGCTGCCAGAAAACAAAAGATTTTTCTTCTTTCATTTGTGCTATTGCATTTAAGAATAGCTCCCAATATCTATGAAGAATCCTCTTGCTTCTAATAACAGTAACTGGCAGCATAGCTGAAGACCGACCTAGAAATAGAGAAATTTTTCTTCCTAAGCTAACTACCTCCCTTGGGTCATCCAACTCATCTTCATTCCCCTAATCTTTGAAGCTGTTATCCCTTCAAGAGAAGGTCGAGAAATCGTTTTTGTGACTTTGTACAGTGCTGAGCACATTACTGCCACCTAACAAGCGATGCATAAAAGGAAGCTCCCAAAGATCTGTTCATCTGGGGAAAAAAAAAAAAGTTTTTACTTTATATTTAAATATCCTCTCATTGCTTGTAAAGGAGCATCAGAATTAACTCCACAGGGAACCATTGCTCAAGCTGCCTTGCTGCTGTATGCTCAAGTTGCCAAGTGTCAAGGATTCAATCCCATTCCTACTCAATAACAGTGAGAAAAGTTCCATTTAATTCACCAGTTTGACATGATCAATGTTTCTCAGGGCAATTCTAAATGAACTGTAGAAAGAAAAAAAAAAAAGGGAAGGTGGGAGGGGATTTTCATAAAAAAAGCTCCATATTGATATGTTAGAATGTCCTTAAAACTCTTTATGAGAATTATTCATGAATTGCATTCTGTACTTAGAAAAAAACAGAAGCACCATTCTACATAACAGGGAATCAACAAACTTACCGATGATCAGCAGCCCAGCGCAACTCTGCTTGAACTTGGGTAACAAACCGGTCCAAAAAACTGCTAACTGAAGGATGCCTTGAAGGAAGCTGAAATTTTAAAGACTTTTTCTCTTTCTCCAGTTCTTCCAGTTTCCGTCTAAATTTATCAGCTAGAAATTTAAAAAAACAAAAAACAAAAAACAAAACAAACAAAAAAAATCACACACAAAAATTCACTCATCAGTGACAAAAAAAGGTTCCATTTTACGTGAAGAAGAAATAAAGGTCAATCAACAAAAAGTAAAATCTACCTCACAGACAGTTCTTCTCCTTTTGATAAAATATATCAGTGTTTTGCTCAAGGATGAATTGCTAAGACTACAATGGAAAACATCAGACAAGCAGGATGCTAAGCTACTTTCTTCTATGACAAGGACAAAACTGCAGGCTTCTCAGCACTTTCGCAGAGTTTTAATTTGGTAAGGCTTCAAAGAATTGGTTCAAAGTTACAATCTGTGCTTTTCTCCTAGAGAAACAGCTCTGAATTCAATTCTAAGAAAGCTCCTACTCTTAGCTGTTCCAGTTTTAAAACACTCTTAGATGGCAGTTACACATTTAAAGTCTGACCTTTTAACAAACTGCATTGTTATTAGGTCAAGAACTGAAGAATCATATATGATCAGCAATATATTTCAGCAGAAAATGTACAAGTAATTATAGCATTTAAACAATTATATCATTCCAGGCTGTGCTGAATTATGCTTATTTTATCATCCAACAAAAAGATTTACTTTTAACTTTCATTAAAAGAAACAGTGGTCCTTAAGAGATTGACTCTACCATAACTATAAATTTCTTAAAGTAAATATTTCTCTATGTAAGACATTTCTTTGTTTTCTTTCCCTGTGTAGAAATTAAAGGAACACAGTTTCAATTACAAATTATTATTTCTGGAACATATATTCTGTACTGTGCCAGTATATTAGCAAAAATCACATCCATGACAGATAAGAAGCCTGGCTGGTCCTGGCCAGAACACCTTTGATGATACATTAGTCAAATCAGAGAGAGTTGAACTATCCTGCAAATGGAAAACCTTTACAGTTCAGTACTTTCCCCATGACCTCACTGCCTACAATTTTGCACAATTAGCATTCCTTCCTTTCTAACATATCAATACAGCATGTTACTATCAGAATAACATCCATCTGTGCATGCTTTTTACAGCTTATTTTCTTTATCCTCAAAGGGGTTTTAAGAATAGGGGTTGTCTACATTTGCTAGTTTAGTGAAATATCCATTTTCACAATCATCTATCGTTCATACTGCTCTCCTTTCTGCTTCTGTGCTGATGGGGTGGAATAAAGACACAAGAACGTACTAACTAGACTAGATCTTCTCCCTGGGGCAGCAGACTGTTCCAGGGTAGTTAAACTCCTGTTGTCGTTATTATTAGGGTGCAAAATACTGCCAGAAGGCTCTAGTCAAAACGATCACCACACAAGTTACTGCAGGGTCCAGGCCTTGCCCCAGCAGCCATATGTACATGTGTGTGTGCTCTCTTCCTGCAAAGGAGAAAGATGTTTTCAGCCGTGAGGTTGAACTACACGCATTTTTCAAGGACCACAGCTGTCTGATCCCTAGCACAACAAAGAAACTCAAATTTGGGCGCAGATGAAGATCCCTAGCCCATACTTTGACCAGAAGGACATAACAGCATTTGTAATTTGCATAGAATTTCAAAGACAGCCATCAAAAATATCACTGCTTAAAACAGAAAAGTGTTGGATTGTGATCAATGACTACTGAATGCCAAAACCCATAAAAACACCTCCTGTCAGTCAAACTATCCACCAATGAGCTTTGTGTGTTAAACAAGCAGGAGTTGAGAGAGCAAGCAACTCTCTACCAGCCATTTAACAACGTTTTCACTGTTCTCCAACATAATTACGCTTACACTGTGTTTGTGCGTCCAGTTGTTTCATCATTCTATTCTACCCATTCTGGCCCTAGAAACAGGCTATTCTGGGAAGGAAAACAGATGAGGGGATCCACCTGCCAATTCATTCTCTCTCTCATTAATTCTTGGCTATGTCCTGCTTTATACATTCCAATCTACACAGTATTCAATTAGTTTCTACTAACAGATGTTTCTAAATAATTTGTTCCACTGGCATTTTATAAGTACTACTGCTAGCCATATCCACTTGTTACCTCTCAGCACTAAATGATTTTTTTTATCCTTTCAGCATTGCAGTTAGGGGTTATGCGTCAAGAGACTCCAGCATCACTGAGCTGAACACTGCAGCACACAGCTTTTGAGTCTCCTTTCCTGGAAAGTTTGACCTGGCTGATGTCTTCAGTGAGTGGAGAGATCAAGGCTCCTCAGTGCCAGCTGCAGACAGCCATGCAAATAAGGCTCATTTCAGTCCAGCTTTCAGTGTTGCAGCTCAAAAGAGATCTGGGTCAAGCAGAAGTAATACAAGCAATCAGAAGTCTAGCAAGTAGAATGTAAAAAACTTGACAGTAAGTAGGGTTCCTTCATCTAGTGGAGATAAAGACTGAAGGAAGTAACTTCCAGTACTATTACATACCAGGAAGCTACAAAGAAGTACGTAATACAGTGCTTTTCACCTCTCCTCAGAACTTGGGTTCCCAGTAACAAACCTGAGCTGCAGTAAAGGAGGTGAGGAAAAAACATTACATATAGTAAAGCACTAAAACTAACTGCTTAGGATAGACAGGAAATCTCCATCAGTGCCGGTTTTCAGGTCAGACAAACATCTCTTACAAATAGCTCTGGCACAGTTTCTAAGGTTGAAGCCAGCAAGATCAAATATGTTCTCCTGAGATCCCTTCCCACCTATTTTTAGGATTTTTCAGCCAAAAAGCAGACACAGAAGGCATTTGCTATTCATAAGCCATCAGACCCAAGGACATCACTTCTACCTCCATTTTAGTCTTCTAAGCATGTGATTCCAACACAGAAGAGACCTTCACAAAATCACAGAGCTCACTGATGGACGGAAACACCAAAAGAAAACACACACATGGATACCTACACACACAAAGGCTTAATACTTTAGTGTTCTGTCCCACACTTCACCTCAAGTCATTTAATACACAGCTTACATGAAAAAAAGCATCATCCCATTTGAAGTTCTTAAATGAAGGAACTTAGTGTATTCAGTAATGAAGGAACTTAGCGTATTCAGTACATACTGTTTTACAGACAAGTATCTGGAATAAGGCTTAATTCTCTTAAACAGCCTTTTATTTCACTGCATTATGTTGCCAACTGCCTTGCATCAGTCCTACAGACACCCTATACAAAGCTTCTGCTTCACAGAATCATAGAATGGTTTGGGTTGGAAGGGACCATAAAGCTTATCTAGGTCCAACCCCCTGCCATGGGCAAAGACACCTTCCACTAGATCAAGTTGCTGTAAGCCCTGTCCAACCTGGCCTTGAACACTTCCAGGGATGGGGCATCCACAACTTCTCTGGGTAACCTGTTCCAGTGGCTCACCACCCTCATAGTAAAGAATTTCTTCCCAGTATCTAATCTAAGCTATCCTTTATTAGTTTAAAGCCACTGCCCCTTGTCCTGCCACTACATGCCCTTGTAAAAAGTCCCTCTACTTCCGTGTAAACAGCAAAAGTTAACCCTTAAATTATCCCCCATCCCAATCTGTTACTGCCTTATGCACCTCAAACATCCCACTCCAACTGAAGTCAACCCAGAGTACAGGCCTGGAAGACGCTGACTAGCTGCTAGTTTCAATTAAACAGCAGTAAGAACTGCACTGTCTCTAAAGAACGTGTTTTGTAATAGCTTTAAGCAAAGGAAGCAATTTAGCAAATTTTTAATTTACCATATGAGAACATCTGGCTACGTCCCTACTTTTTACATATTCTGATATGTATTTTTCCCTATAACACAAGGTTCACTTTATCAGAGCTATTTATCATCATTTAAAACACATTTAAGAAAATCATCATAGTAAGGGTAGAACCTCATTTGCTATATTGCATATATTTACATTTATTTATGTCTGTTCTTTGCTGATAGGTGAGAAGATGATCAATCCTGTTATTCTACAAATTGCTGGACATTTAAAAAAAAGCATTTCTTTAGCTAGTTCAACTAGGGTTCTCTTTTCTCATGCTATCTATGGTTTTGGTCTCCAAGATATACTATAGCAGAAAATGTCAAATGGAATTATGAATTATTTAAACACATACCCTATTAGTAATTTTAAACCATTCTTGGTTTAAACCATTAATTTTAAACCATTCTTATTAGCTATTTCTTTTGTGGTTTTTTTTACCATAAATAGGAAAAAAAGCCAACAACATTCCTTTTTTACTTTGCCTACACATTAAGAACTTTGACATCATCATGCTCAAATTGCACCATTCATTTTCTAGAAGAGACTTACATAAGCTAAAGCAATGCTAGAAATGCTAGAAAGTGGGGAGTCTAATGTGGAGTCTGAATACGCGACTGAAATGCAGCTGGAGATTAGACTGCTAAGGATGGTGTCTACAGCCCAATTACTAGCATTGCCTTCTGCAAAATTACTTGAAGGAGAACACGCAAACCAAGTAATATCCAAATGTGACATGTAAAGACATATACTCTGATAAGAACTGAAGGCAATACAAGCAACTGGAGTATACCTGTGCCCTTAATTTAAGAATAAAATAATGAACCATTTAACAGTGCCAAAAAGATACACAGTAGGAGATAGTCAATTCCTTGCGAGTCCTAACACATGGATATGTGTAAAAGGGAGCTTCAGATTAAAACTAGATAGTTGAGCAGCTAGCCCTTAGAATCATAGAATAGTTAAGGTTGGAAAGGACCTTAAGATCACCAAGTTCCAACCCCCCTGCCATGGGCAGGGACACCTCACACTAAACCATGTCACCCAAGGCTCTGTCCAGCCTGGTCTTGAACACTGCCAGAGATGGAGCATTCACAACTTTCCTGGGCAACCCATTCCAGTGCCTCACCACCCTTACAGTAAAGAACTTCCTCCTTATACCCAATCTAAACTTCCCCTGCTTAAGTTTGTCCTGGGTTCAGCAGTAGCAGTAATTTTTTCTCCTCCTTGGTAGCTGGTGCAGTGCTGTGTTTTTGACTTTCAGCCTGGGAACAGTGCTG